GGGCAGATGCCGCAGGAGGAGGGAGGAGGGCTGGTGGAGAAGTTCGTGCTGGAGTCAGCCAGTCTGAAAGTGGAGATCCTGTCCTTGGGGTGCATCATTGCCGCCCTGGAGACGAAAGGCAGGGATGGGGTGTTCTCAGACGTCGTCCTAGGCTTTGACACCTTGGAAGGTAGGTCAGCGTTCCTTTCTTTAAAAAAACAATCAGGCGATTTAACCAGTGTTTTCCCGTGGGTCTGCTCCTAAAGGTCCCCTCCAAATCGCGGGCTGAAGAAACACAGCTCCTGCTGCCTGCCCTGGGCTCGGTGGTGGGTGGGACACAGGGATGCTGCGTGCCCCCTCAGAGGGGGTGGCTCTGTCACGCGTTGACTGGCAGCGGCAGCGGCCTTGTCTGCCTATCTGCAAAGAATACAAGATCCCCTCAGGCTGCTGTAACCACAGACGTGCCTGGCTGTGTGTCCTGCGGGACACTGGGACTGTACTCACCTATTTAGTACTGGGAGGAAGCGGAGGGAGACACCTCGGAGTCCATAAGCCCACCTGGAGACCACCCATCCTGTCCCAGTCCTTCCATTTAACCTGTTTCTCTGGCCAGGTTACGTGAGGAAGCACCCCTTCTTTGGCGCTGTCGTGGGGCGTGTTGCCAACAGGATTGCGATGGGGAGGTTCACCGTGGACGGGAAGGACTACCAGCTGTTCCTCAACAACGGGCCCAACAGCCTGCACGGAGGAGCCAGGGGGTTTGACAAGGTGAAAATCAGATGGGTGGATCCCCGCATCCTCCGACACAGCCTGTGGGGTTGTGGCAGGAGGATATGATGTCTCCACTCCCAACACCATAGGGCTTTCTGGTGGTTATTGAGTTGAATCCCAACAAGTGCTGTGAGTGCAGGAATGGGGAGGAGTGAGACCCCGTGAACTGCAGGGTCAGCTGGGTGGCTTAGCAGGACTCACTTATGTCATCCTTGGATGCCATCCAGAGGGTTGCTGTGCATTACTGAATCCCTGAGGCCTCCTGAGCCCAGTTCCAACGGGGTTGTCCTGGGACAAGGTGCTGCTCCCACAGAGCCTGGGCTGGGACATGGTGGTGAGCACCCAGTCTCATGCACGATGGAGGCTCTCAGGGTGACAGCCACACCGCCCCAGCGTGGGTACTCTAGGTGTCCTAGTGCCCAAAGAAAGTTTCCTGGAGAGCAGTGATCCACGCAGGCTCATTTTTGCCCGTGGTTTCAGGGCTCTTACCTGCCCATAGCTCCTCCCAATGTCAGAGAGTCCTGAGTTTGCAGAAATGTTGCTGCTTGCTTTTGAGCGCTTCAACACTCCCACGTACAGGAAGAGCAGGGTGCTGCGGGTTCCGTGCAGTTACTGCCTTACCCCCCCCTTCAGTGCTGCTTTCATCCCAGCGACAGCATAGCCCAGGCTCTTGCTCTGGCTTACAGCAGCGGGTGACTAGGTCAGGCCTTCAGAATGCCCCAGCACCTCTGTGTTCCCACCCCAGCCCTTCCCTGTGACCTTCCGAGATAAAATAACCTTTTCCTGTCCCCACGGCACTCAACCCTTCCTGTTTTCTCTCGAGAGCTGCTGCTGAAGTCCCCCGTGTATTGCAAGTGGTAAGGGCAGCAGAGCATCTCCTCTCTTGGAAGCCTGGCTGATGACTGCTGACTGCATAGCAGGCTCAGAAGGCACTGCTTTCTTGAAGTCTTGGGCTTTGTTGGATCAAACGCGTTTGTAACCAGCAAGTCGATGATCCACGGTTTCCCCAGAGGAATGTGTGTGACTGCTGGTGCAGCTGCTTTCCTGGGTTAATGTTTCATGAAAGGACATCCAGGCTGACAGGGCAAAAGTCAGAGTGTCTGGAAAAAAAGCTCACTTCTGGGCAGCACTGTGTGAACTAGCATCAGATTGAGATCAAACATTCCTCAGCAGCCTTAGAAGAAAGGGAGTACAGGAGCGACTTGGCTGTTGCACCCTCCGAGAGGGTTTGAAGGTTCTCTGTACACCCTGAACCCCTGTGAGCTCCAGCTGAAAACATGCACCCCTTTGCACCCGGGGTTTCCAGGCTGTCTTCTGTAGATGTGGGACACAGTCTCTTCTCCTGCCTCTTCCCTTTCCCTGCTGAAAGTGTACCCACTTGGTGGGGGCAAGGCCAACAACACCTCCAGCCAGGGCTTTGTGTCCTCCGGCCCACAGGGCACGTTTCAGCACCTGCTCGAGACCCCTCCAGCCACGGAGCGGTCGCTGTGCGGAGCCCTGTGGTCAGCCCTAACAAAACCAAGGCTCACTGGCTCTTGGCTGTGGCTATCTTGGCCATCTTGGTGTTTTTCCCTGATCTTGCAGACCTCAGTGCTGCAGTCAGCGCGTGGTCTGATGACGAGGAAGATTGCAGCCGCACTTGGGTGGAGGCGATAATCTGACCACGCTGCTGGGAGATAGGGTGACTTTAAAAAATAGCCCCCTTAGCTTTAAAAATTAGTGATATATGTATGGTTACTGCTTTTCCATCACTTTGAAGAACTTAAATAGAAGCTCATACATAAAACCACAGTGTCCCACAGCAATGGGAGCTGCAGTCCAACTGCACTCAGTGCAGCAGGACCTGCTCTGCAGCCTGGTTACCACATTTGGCACCCACAGTTCCTGTGTTTGGTGAAAATGTTGGCTTTTGACAAGTGCCAAGCTTGTGATCTTTGCATGGGTCATGAAAGGGGTCGTCTCAAAAGCGCTTTCTGGCCCCTGCCCCTGGAGCTGGCCTCTTTGATTAGGCAGTTACTGTTCCTTGGGTAGATGCAAAGCTCCAGACTGGGCACCTCGCCTGTTGTCGCACATCCATCCTGCAAGGGGCTGAGACATCTGCTTAGCCTCAGGTCCAGCTGGGGTCAAACAGGCTGTGTCTGACCTGCCCCCAAGCAGGGGCTCCCGGTGTGTGTTTACATTGTCCCAGAAGCCAGCCCGAGTTAGCCGAGGGAAGGGCAGCAGCTTGTTGAGGTGATGCTGCACGCCAGGAGATCCATGGGAGGGAGAATAAGGCTGGGTGCAGGGCAAAAATTAAAATGCGGGGACCCTCTTATGCATTGAGTACCACAGGCTGGGACAGACCCCCATCAGAACAAACGGCCTTGTTCGTTTAGCTGCTCATTGGAAAACTTGTTCCCTGCTGCTGGCCCTGGCTGACCAAGAGCACGTTGGGGCTTGTGTTTGCTCTCACTCCCCTTTTTCTTTTCCACAAGGGGATGTTGGGTTTTAGTCCTTCTAGCAGTAAGAGCAGGAAAAATGATGGAAAAAAAAACTGTTTCAATATATCATTCCCTGAGTAGTTTTTGGCCCTGGGTTCAGCCCAGTCTGGGGCAGGAGAGAAGGGCAGGGTGTTTTCCATGATTGTCCCACCAACAGCATGTTGCTTGCAGGTTCTCTGGAGCCCCCAGGTCCTCCCGAACGGCGTCTGCTTCTTCCGGCTCAGCCCCGACGGTGAAGAAGGCTACCCCGGTGACCTGAAAGTCTGGGTGACCTACACGCTCAACGGTGGGGAGCTGTCCATCAACTACCGCGCCCAGACCAGCAAGACGACACCCATCAACCTGACAAACCATGCATACTTCAACCTTGCAGGGCAGGTACGCGTGGGGAGATGAACTCCGTGGAGGGGCACGGTGCAGGGGAAGAAAGCCTGGGGACCCATGGGATGATCCATGGGTTTGTTGGGACCAACATGGTGGTCTGGAGACATGGCAATGGAATTTGTCTCTACGCATCATGGGCTGCGTGCAGCCTACAAGGTGGGACAGGGCTGAATCACACAGACCTCAACTGAGGACGTGTGATCCCAGCGTGTCGTGAACAGTCACATCCAGTCATGAGTATTAGCTCTTCCTTTTTGTGTAACGGGGGAGTTGCAGTCTCTCCTCGTCCCTCGGGAAGGTTACAGAGGTGTAGAAGTAGCAGACCCTGGTGATGGACTGACATTTCTTAGCTGTCTTCTGTTGGCGCTTCTGAGACAACACACTGAGCCCTTGCGTGGACAGCTGAGATCAGGGCCTGGAGTGCCAGCCAGTCAGCGCAGCACCAAATACCCAGGTCAAAACGGGGAGGGGGAAAAAAAGGCAGGTTGCAGAGCAGGGCGGTAGCTGGTGCGGAGGCAGGCTGTACTGCAGCAGCGTTTCAGTCTCACCTCTTTGTAACTGGGCTTGGAGGAGAAGGATCTGGGAAATAAAATGTTGTTGGGCAGAGCAGTAGGATGGGACAGTGCAGCCACACTTGGACGTGAGACACAGACCCTTCAAAGTGTCGGTGAGAGGCGTCCCGGCCCCTCTCTGCAGGAGGTGTGTGCAGGCTGCTGCCCTGACGACGCTGTGCGGTTGTTAATTTACCCTCCCTTTGGCCTTAGGGCCGGCAGTACCCTAATACCAGCACCTGCAGCATGCAACTCGGGCGTTGTTTCCAGAGGAACGGGAGGCCTTTGGGCATGAAAATGCTTCTCAGATTAGACAGTGATGTGCAGGCTTAGCTTTGATCCTTCCCACTTTCCAGCCCAGCAAGTTCCCTGCTAGCATCCCCAAGGCTGTGAGAGAGGAAGAGGAGTGCAACCCCCAGTGCTGCGGGAGACGAGCCCGGAAGGATGGGTTGTGCTTCATCGCGTTTGTGTCCTGCCCCTTTTGCCCACCGCTGGGTGCTCAGCAGCCAGTGTGTTTTGGCTAGTGAGCCTGCAGGGCAGCAGTGCTCGGTGAGGTGCCAGTTTCGATGGATAGTCCCAGCCCGGCGGGATTTCCAGCTCCCAGGTCCCACACAGCCTTTCACCTGTGCCGGTACCTTTGTCCTGTGCCCAGGGTCAAGGCGGGATGACGGCCAGGAGGTCTCACAGGCACCACCAGATCAGCTGGGCAGTCACTTCTGTGTGCTCAGGGCTGCTGGAATGGAGGAAATCCTGGTATTTCCCATCTTCCTGCAGGGCTCACGGGATATCTACGACCACGAGATTTCCATTGCAGCAGAC